TTTAGCAAATGGCTGCAATATAACAAAGAGTGAAAAATTGAAGGGGGCCTGAATACTTTCCGTACCCACTGTACATCATAAAGTATTTTGTTACAAATTACAAATACTTGCTCATCCAATGTATTTATTTTAAAATACAAAATACTGTTGTGAGAAATGTATTTAATTAAAATACAAGTAATTTGTCATTTGAAAATACAAAAATACAAACAATATTACAAGCAATCATTTGAAGAGACACTGCAATTACATTTATCAATACTGAAGTTAGATACACACATAAGACAATATATCCAATATATTGATCCATATTTCTTCTAATTTCTTATGTTCACTTAAGAAACTGACTGTGTTTAATAAATAAAATATTTTTATCCAATAATAAAATTGGATTACTTAAAGCTGCAGTCCGTAAGTTTTGCCTCTTTGTCGCCATCTCTGTCTGAAAACCTGCAATTGCAGCTGTGTGCGGAATTATCTTCCTTGCGTGGGTTGTGCGGCGGCACGGCTCCAGCGCGGATATATCTAATCTTTTGAGGAGTATGTGTGTGTGGCAGTCAGTCACCGCACCGATGTGGATACTGTACTTCGGAATCACAGATTCTAGCCTACATCTTGGAATATGACCCAAATAAGAATTTTCACCGTATATTGTCATCTGAACAAGTAAGTAACAAGTCTGCCACGTTTGTTCTGACCAACTGAGGAAAAAAGCATTACAATAAATCGTGCTACCAATGGTGATTTAATCTAAAGATTAGATTAGCTCATATCACATCAAACCATGCAAATTATTATTATTGTTATACTTTATTCTCAAATTATTAATGTTAACAACATCTGCATTGCGTGACTATGAGTATAGTGTGTATTAGTGTGTAGATTTCAATTTCTGGACAGTCTAATCTCTTATTGTCATACCATTCAAATTTCATATTAAGAAATTCGTAATCGGTAGCACATTTAAAACTGGAATATAATTTAATTTCATTCACATGTGTTTCATAAACACATAATCCTTTCTGGATTACAAGCCGCCATCAAATTGATACATTTAATTATTCTGGCTGCTGTGAGTAAAGGCTATAAACGATCGGCCACTTGCAGGATCCTCACATGCGATAGCCTAGTAGCCGGGACAACATTTTCATGTTTACAGAAGTGACGTAATGACGCAGCAGCATGCTCAAATTTCCCGCGAAAACCTACCCGTACCACTCAAATTAGAAAACATTATTATAAGCTAACCGTTGTGAATCGTACTAAAGTAATGCGATAGTTTTGAACACTGGCTGGTTATGTACTTGCTCAAATATTGATTTGGGATAATTTTTAACCATAAAAAGTCATGGACGGCAGCTTTATTGACAGGAATTACTTGAATGTGTAAGTTGCATGGTCGACTGTAGAGGGACAGAAAGCTTTTGGATTTCATCAAAAATATCTTAATTTATGTTCCAAAGATGAACGAAGGTCTTACAGGAGTGAAACGACACGAGGGTGAGTAATTAAGAACAGAATTAAAATTTTTGGGTGAACTATCCCTTTAAGACTCTGCCTATGGATCCAAAAGGATGTCATATGATTCACTTGCATCTGGCCAAAAACTGTGATAGGCTATAGTTGACAGTACTATTAACACAGGTAAAGAAAGATATTGTATTATCTGAGAATAAAATTACCTACTTGATTAGTATTTCAAATACAAAATACTATCTCTCAAAGTATTTAATTACAGATTACATTTGTTTGTTTTTTTGTTGTTTTTTTTTGTTCAGCAAAATACAAACTACAAAAAAACTCTAAAGTAATTAAATATATATTTTAAATACATTTAATTAAAATACTGCCCATCTCTGACAACATGGAGTTGAGTGAATGGTGACACAACTTTAATTTTGGACAAACTATTCCTTTAATACATTATAATGTTGCCTTTTTGCTAATTCGTTCTTCTGTGAATAATGATGTAAATGTCAAGTTTGTTTCTCGCACAAGACTTGGAATATAGATGTGTGGACTACTTTTTATGGATTTATTTTTTCTTTTTGGAGCTTGACAATATAGTTTACAAACCTCTTTCATTGTTAACATAGGCAGCTGAGAAAGTATGAAAAAAAAATATCTAAGGTATTGCATTTAAGAAAGTAGTATGTATTTATAATGATGGGTAAACATTTTTTTTTTCTGACTTGAACTAAACTTTCAACTACAGAATCCCTGAAGAGTACTAACCCATTGTGATCACACTGTTGCATGCATCTGGTCCTAGTAGTGCAGTTATACCTTAAAAATGCAGAAGAGGCTCCAATCTCCCGTTAATTAAGTTCACCCACAGTGTGAGAGGTGCAGACTCACCGCACAGAGGCCCCTGAGCCAGAGCCAGACTGGTCTGTGAGGGGTGCGCTCATTAGCAGCCTGACAACAGATGGAAACGTTCTTAGCACTTTAGCAGATGAGAGGTTCACCTAGGGCCTAATGGTGCTATAATGTACATACATGTCTCCAAGCAGTCTACCTGACTACCTGATGATTGCCATTAGCTGAACTGAGACAAGAGGTCAATGGAGGGAAAAGCACTGCGGTGCAGATAAACTTTTTGAAGATTGAAAGGTGTTTAATGCACATTTAGTTATCCTTTATCATTAGAAGCAGCGTTGCTAAAGTAACATTGCATGCTATATACCCCCTATATCTCAAACCTTTTTAACCTCTTGAAAGAGTTTGTAGAAATATGAGCCACTAAGTGAAAGGACAAGAATCTTAATTCACATTATATATAAACAGCTTTATTCCTATACAGAAAATATGAAGTACAAAAATAAAGAGTAACTTTGCCAACAACAACAATTATAATTGATAAATAAAACATGTAAAATACTGAAGCAAAGCAATTTATTGTTGTCAGCTTTTTAAAACAATATTTGTAGATGTCTTTTCAGAGCAGCTTTTAATATTGAAACATCAGGACTCTTAAGGTCAGCAGATTGGGCAGACAGAACACAATCCATCTCCCCCTCATCCTTGGTGTTTTGGAAGAAAACTATTTTAATTTCCTTTTTCATAAATTGAATCTGAGACTTCCCAGTAAGTGCTCTGACAGTTTTATAACCCTTGGAGGACTCAGAAAAGCACCCAATGAAATCACTTGTCAGATAATGACAAAGTTATCTACAGTTCCTTCTTACTCCATGAAAGCATTTAGGTTAAATAGCTCAGTTTTTTTCTGCAACTGTGATATTTTGCAGCTGACCTTCTTCAAAGCCTTGTTGTTTTCCATTCTGGTTCATTGTGAGACGACAGAGATTGAAGAACAAAGGCCAAGGTATAAACAATAAATATAAACATCCACAAGACACATGTGTAGACATGGTAATAAATAAATAACTTAAATTAAAAAATAAATATGATATCTGTTAAGTGTACAGTAAATGTTAAGGGATGCATGGCATCCATTTGGTAACAGTAAAATAAACAATGGCAAATGCATTGTGGTCATCATCTGAGAATGCTAAAAGTGAACGCTAATGACCCAGCTAAAGCACAGTCTGGAAGACATCACATTATGCTAATTTCTTTTTGTTGATAACTAAAATGGGGAAAAACCTGTAAGGCCACATAACTATGGTGCAAGTAAATCAATATATAAATGTCAAAAATGTAAAGCAAGATAAAATAAGAACTGACCTTTAGTTTGCTATGTAGCAAATCCAAGTATCGTTTCACATAATTTGACAATTTAGACCTACATCATGCTTACCTAACATATGTTAATGATAATATTTTTTATATAATATGTACTTTGTACATTAATATTTGATGTACCAGCATAAATAAAACTATTGCATTGTACTATTGGGCTACACAGCCCCTATGGTTTAGCATCAAATATCCATCTTTATAGATTTTATTCGCTTAACTATATCTTTCAATAAGTCAACTTACTATATGAAAAACTGGCCTTGTGGAACATTAACCCTTTAATACCTCTTACTTTATTTATGGTATTAAAAAGGATTTAAAAATGTAAGATTCATATCATTCCTGTAAAAATTCTGAGAAATGAAAAACACAATCAACCTTCAGTGCTTCCAGCTGAAAGGGTAATACTAACTGGCCAGTGTGTTTTCTTTCGGGCTAAGCTTTTAATAATACTCCACATATGTTTGCGCAATTACATTGTAATTACAACAATAATGTGCTGTTAATAATGAATGATCCAAAGTTGCTAATCTGGCTGAAATATAACATGCCAGACTGAAGGCCAGGAAAATGGGCACTGACATCCAGGATCAACAAGTGAGTCTGACAAATGAAATAGGGTTTCGTGCTGTATCCAAGTCTGTTGAAACTCTTGGTAAGCAAATGCTTGTCGAGTTATAACATGTAGTTTTTGTTTATAGAGCCATTCAGATGGACGATCCAAAGTTGCTGTTCTTCCATCCTCAAACTCTCTCCATATTGAGTCCAAAGAGTCTCTCGTCATCTCTGACTTGGTCGAATTGTATTCTAACCTCATTCAAGCTTTTCTGTCGAGGTTTGGTGTGTACTTTACAGTACGTAAGTTTGTATGCATAGACTGTTGTTGTGAATCACTCACAGCCAAAACATATTCCCTCACAGAGCTTCACCATGGCCAACCCGCCCGACCTTGTTCTGTAGCCATGGCCCAGGAGGCTTCCTGATTCCTCCTTTCTTCTCTTTGACCGTTGCACCATTTCTTCAGGTCATGCTCCCCCTCCCCTCTTTCAGCTCAGCTCATCCCACGCACTCACAGTCTGCTGCGGAGAGGGACTTGATGGTTCTCCAGGTTGTGGTAGCATCCATGAAGGAGACGGGTTCATAGCTCGTGGGCCGGCAGCAAGGGTGTGCACTAACCTTCCTCGCGGTGCGCTTGGGCAGACTACCATTGGCCAGCAGAGTGCGTAGAGCCAAGTCATAGTTCCCACGAGACCTCTGGCAGTAGCCGACGCAGAACTTGAAAAGGACAATTTCGTCTGAGTCGAAACCCATGCCCAGGTCCCGTACACGCATCTCACGTTTCTCTACACGGCAGTCCCGACTGCTGTGCCGTCCCCTGTTGCTATTCTCTTTCTTTTTCTTTTCCTCCTTCTCTTTTTTCTTCTTTTTCTTGCGCGCACCTTTGGTCTGTATGTCAGAAGTGTCTGGTGAGCGGGGGGAACGTTCCCATCTCGCTGGCTGTTGGTCGCCCTCGACAAGCACAGATGGCTCTGCGGGAGAGACAGAAACGGATGAAGACAAAAAGAAAAAGAAGTTTATTGCCTGTTCAGGACTAAACAATTCATTGTTGATTCATTCATTGTAGAAATCATTCCCAGACATCCAACTCACCAAACAAGCCATGCCATGGGGAGTCACTGTCCTCCTCAAGCTCTTCCTCAGTGTCTGGAAAAGCCTCTAATGGCAGCTCCTCCATTCCAGCAAATCCTACCGCAGCTTCGGATTCTACTTGAAAACGTGACAGGCTTCCTGCCACTAGGGGCAGCAGATACATCACAACCCATACAAGCACCTGAGCAAACAAAGCAAAGGTGGATGGAAAATGAAAGGACAACTTTTCAAAGTAATTAGAGCATCTCCTGAGTACTTGAATCAATGGATGTCCGAGCAAAGAATTTGCCCATTTATACACACCTGCCAGCGTTTCCTGTGACATGGTGCATCGGTGACTGATGGCATGGCAGGCATTGCTCTGATCCGACTCCTCGGCCACCACCAAACTCCCACCTGCATGGAAAGAACAATGATTGGCTTCATTATACAGCAACCTACAGTTGTACATGTACATACCAAGTCAGGTAATGTAAACTCGAGAGAGCAACATGCGGGTGACACATACACATAACATACAAATGTATATTCAAAGGTGTCCCATTCATCACGGTCATAATGCCTTTAGAAACCATGTTCGTTGTTATAGAGAGAGACCTGTGTGATCTCTGAGCACGACTGGTGCTGACTTGCCTGTGGACAAAGCTACAGTGTTAAAAAGAGCAGTTGTCCGTCAAATAAACAGCCTTGAAGCAAACACTGTCAAAAGCATTCTTGACGTGGTTAGATTGCAGCGTGTAGAAGGAGCCTCATGCTCTCAAGGGGGTCCTACAAGCCACAGAGATACAGAGAGGTTGATAAGAGCTCTGAGCAATGCAGATGTTTATTGACTCATTGCAGTGTGTGACTGTGTAACCTGTGCTGGGGGCTCTGATTTATATCAGGGTCAGGAACAGGGCACAGTGTCTCAGTTAACACCATTCAAACAGCAGGACTCAGTCAAACACGGCATCCCGAAAATGATTGATGAGGACAGACCAATTATTTGCTAGGGGAAAAGGGATGGCAGGCAAAACAGCAGAGCGTGCTGTGCTTATATTTTGGCATAGTTTTATAGTGTTCCAGTTGTGTGGAGTTGACTGAGGCTGGATTCCTTTCTCTCACTCACCTCTGAGAGATCCGCTTCAGGAGGAACTGAACTGATGGCACACTTAAGGCCAATTTACAAGAATTAACTAGCAATAAAGCAGTTAGCCACAAGAGGATGTGCTTCAATTTGAGCATGGTTACAGGTTGTACAACATATTCATGCTCCAAAGGTGTGAAGTGACTAATGCTGCTTATAATAACTGCACATAACTAACAATTTTGACTGATTATTGTGTAGTTTTAGCAATATATTATTCAAAGAAGAATCAGTTGTTTTGTGATGTCTTTTTAAATTTGTTACATTTTTTATGCAAAACAAGTTTGTAGCAGAATAGGGATGAACTGATATAAGTTTAATGGTGACACTCATAAGTGATAAATATTTTCATATTATTTTTCATACTTTCAGGTGAAATAAACATCAATGATGCTTTCCCACAAGCAGGAACTGCAGGAGCAAATACATTTATAAAAAAATTAATATTTAAATAAATTGCAGATTATATAATATTCTACTATTTTGGCAAAATTAAAAATAAAACACAAAAAAGTAAATCACCCATTTGAAATGCTACAAGTGAAGGAATAATATTATAATGTGGAAAAACAGATATTCATTTTGATATTTGCTAAAGATAACATTTAACTTTTATTGTTAGCATTTTTAAAGACTAACTTGATATGAGCATTAGATGACAACAAAACACAATTTAATATCCAATATTGGCTGACAAATATACACACAATTTAGACAAATATATTAATGCTAAACTAAAAAAAAAATATATATATATATATAAAATAAAATAAAATCTCTAACATTGGTCAGTAACCAGTATGGTACTGATATCTATTTATACCTAAAGCAGAATATCAAACGCTCCCAGTCCACTTTCACTTTATCACATTTGGTGTTAAATAGAATAAAGCAAGCCATATGGGTTGGGAATGACATGAGGGTATATGATGACAGATTTTTCATTTATGGGTGAAACTCCCTATAAGCCTGCATAATGGAAGTAACTAGGAAATGTGAGGCCTACTTTAAATTAAAATCACACTAAAGGGGGCTGGACACTCACTGTACCTGTTCTATTCATTCTGGACCATTTTCTGGCAACTCTCATAATGTTAAAGAAAGGTCATCGTAAAGTTTTGAGGGTCAGAGGATCTTTTGCTAAGCCTTTCTCATGCAGTAGGAAGCCATTCAAGTCAAATCATCCTCCTGATCTACTTACAAGCCAAACTCTGGACTCAGGTTCTCTTGAATGATTTACTGAATAAATCCTTAAAGACAAAAAAAAATAAAAGTAGTATCTCATGTGCTCCTCAGGAGCATTAAAGATGTCTAATGCTGTATCTTAAGATCTTCAGTCATCTTGGTTTATTGGTTGCTTAAGGCAAATGTAGAATTTATGTCTTCTAAATCCAGCCAAATAAATATTAACCCGGTTTCAACAGCTTCAGGACATATTTATGGCATCTCTGGAGGCCGGCTTCAGCTGAGAAAGACCACATATGACCAGAGATGAATGTGGACATGCTGTCAAAATGGTTTTATAGCATAAATTCCTATTGAAATGTGACTTCTACCCTCATTCTAACTCCTGCATGTGTTGCATTAAAATCGAAGCGTTGTTTATGCGTGAAGATTTATTGTATTCTGATGATTTTCTAATTGTAATTGTATACATATCTGAATCTCTTTAAATATGTGGCACTTCATCTAAACTGCCATAACTGCTTTGATCATAAGCGACATAAAAGCATACGTCCTGAGCTGCGTATGTGATTGTTTGTTTATAAATGGTTTGCGTGCATGTGTATGACTGTTATGGCTGTGACTCTGTGAGCGTGCACATCTGTGTTCCTGACCACAACAATCATTCTTACAGTCTGGCAGGCTTCCCTCCTTCACTCTTCAGCTTCTATCCAGCTGAATGTATAAACCTAATGCAGAAAAACCAGGCTGACCGTAACAAGCAAATCAATATCAGACACCTACAGAGAAACAAGACCAACTCCACCACAAGCATTCGGAAATCTATCCATTGTAGACTATGGAAGTGCAATCTGGCTAATTGGTTGGCCAGCATTTGGGGTCTGTGCGCCTCATTTCGTGCTGTCAGTTTCTAAATAAGCCCTTTGGCCTCTCGTTCCCTGACGACCCCCCACCTCACTGCTTCCTGTAAGCTGAGATGGCATGCTGGGGGCACAGGCCAGAGGTTATGATAAGAGCACTACCTGCCTCTCAAACACACAGCAGGCTGCTACAGCCAGATAAGCAATGAAAATGGGTCATGACACAACAAATTCACATCTGTTATGCAAATTTTTAGTTAGTGCCTCTTGTTAAAGGCGGCATCACTATTACTATTGTTCATACTTGTCATTAGGGGTTTATTCTAAACTTCCAACCTAAGCATTCATCTTCAGTGCACAACTTGTCTCACACCGTTTATGCTACAGATGCAAATGATACTTCAAATCAAGCATATCAAAACTGTTTAAAGCAAATGCGTGAAAATCCAATGAATGTATGCCATATCTAGGAACCAGAATATCACAGAGACTTAGAAGTGGGCTCTTTTGACTTAGGCAATGAAAGCATCTACCTAGCAACGCCCTGTCTAGAACACCCTAGCATTGTGAAGTGATGTTTGCATGAGTAACAGAAATGGGGATTGTAAAGAATTTAACGATTCTGCTTTGTTTGCATATTAAACAACAATACTAAACAAGCAAAAGAAAAATTAATAAAAACTAAAACAAACAAACAATGTCACAATATATTTCAAATGATTTTTTATAAAATACCGCTGACAAAACTCAGCTTTCACACTTTGATTCAATTAAAAGAACCGACTCATAAGAGTCATTAGTTCAGGCTTCAGACTACACTGGTTGTGCTGCATGCGTTTGACTCACTACAAAGAATTGACTCAACTCAACTCAACTCACCTTTCACACTTTGATAGACTTAAAAGAACAAAGAACTGACTCATAAGAGTAATTCGTTCTGTTGCATTACACTGTTCTATTTCATGCTGTAGATTCAGTAGCAGTGTTTCTTTAATTAAGCCCAACACTAATGAACAAGCACATGTAAAAATCGTTTCAGACTTTTTCTTTATTCTGAATGAAAGTGAAGAGATCATTCAAGACTGACTTTTCACAATAGATTGTTTTTTGAGCTTGTGCAAAGCTCGGTTACATTTTATTTTAAGGTGTCCTTGTTACAGTGTAATAATACATAATGAGTAATATTAATTAAAGGGGTCATATGATGCTTTTTTAAAGATCATTATTTTGTGTATTTGGTGTAACAGAATATGTTGACATGCTTTAATGTTCAAAAAACACATTATATTTCAAATACTGTACATTATTGTAGATGTAACATGTGTAACAAGGACACCTTAAAATAAAGTGTTACCCAAAGCTCTTTCATGAATAGCAAATCACTTAATATAATTAGCAGCTCTAATTTCCATATACAATGCTCTTAAGCAGTGTTGGGGAGTAACTAGTTACATGTAACGGCGTTACGTAATTTAATTACAAAATAAATATCTGTAACCTATTACATTTCCAAAGTAACCTTCCCAACACTGCTCTTAAGAGGCAATTAGATTTACCTAAAGGCACCTGATTTACATTAATACAAATGAGACATAAGAACCTTCTTGATTTGAGTTCAGATTTGGTTCAGATTAGGAAAACTCGTTCCTGAAAGCACCCAAGAAAGTGCAGATGAAGTGAAAACTGCCACTGACCGAAACCCTCCAACGTACAAATCTTTCTACATGGGAAGAAGCGTCTCCCATAGTCTCTCTCATCCACCTTTAGACGTGCACCTGGTTGTGTTTAAGTGCCCTGAGCAGTGTCTTTGCTGGCTAGTCGCTCTGTGTCTCCTGCATCATAGCTGGTAACATGCGAGCTGAGGGTGCCTCAGGGACAGGACTCTTGAGGAACAGCAGAGCGGTGCTGGCGGCCTCCGTGCTGGGACTCATTGATTAAAGGCATGCTTCAAATGCACAACAACCTGCCCTCAGGCACATACATGCCACCGTTAAAGAATACGAGAGGATCACAGTGGCGTCATTGTGACTAACATGGATGCAAACTACTCAGTCCAGACGGCAGATGCAAATGAGGGGCTGTCATTGTAGACCTGGTATGTGGGTGTTGACTATTGTGATGTGTGATGGAAATACATAGCATAAAAATACATTATTAAAGTAGGTGATTTGTTAATTATGATGTTTAAAGGCAGGGTAGTTGATTTGGTTCAAAAACATTTTTGT